TCCAATTTCAATTTCATGCCAAATTTCATTTTTAAGCCAATGTGGTATAAACAAAAATTACAAAAACATACACAAATTTCATTTTTAAGCCAATGTGGTATAAACAAAAATTACAAAAACATGCCAAATTTCATTTTTAAGCCAATTTCATGCCAAATTTCATGCCAATTTCAATAGGGTAAACTTTGAAGATTTTAATTGAAGTTTCTTTGTTTAAGACTAGACTTTTAATTATTTTTTAGAGCAAGGGACTAAAACCGTACAAATCAGAAGTTGAGGGGCTGATCATATATATTTTGTAATGGAGTTTGGTTAAATCAGGAGGTTTGATACCTCCTGCTTCTTCCTCATCGATCCTTCATGGCGCAGAGAAGCAAGCAGAGAAGCAAGAAAAAAAATACTAATGGTCTTGTGTTTATAGGTGATCTAATAACAATTCAAGAGACAATTTCCCACATATATATATATATATATATAATATATATATATATATATATATATAATTGATGAATGGAAAAAAATTATATATATTATATATATATATAACAATTATAATATAATATATATATATATATATATATATATATATATATATATATATATATATATATATATAATTGATGAATGGAAAAAAGTGACAATAAATAATAAAAGATAATTAAAAGTAAGAACACTTACTCGATGTATTGTTTGACTTCTTGACAACTATTCAATATAAACCATTCTATATTATGTTTCTCCCTTATATCAAGATGTTTGATTTGCGTTGAGCTTGTCGGTCGACACTTGGACTCAAACATCCAAAACTTTGTTTTTTCAATGACAACATCTACGTTTCTTTCAAGGCGAGTGACATCTCGAAGGTACATCGAACAAAATGACAAAGCTTCTTCAACAACATAACCTTCAGCTATACAACCTTCTGGCCTCGCCTTATTTCTGACATAGTTTTTTAGTTTTTTCATATACCTTTCGAACGGATACATCCATCTCATACATATCGGGCCTCCGGCAATCGCTTCATCAGGTAAATGCAAAACTAAATGAATCATAATGTCAAAAAACGATGGAGGATAAATCAACTCTAACTTGCACAAGATTCTAATAATGTCTTATTTTGCTTTCCTCATATCCTCCACCTTTAGTGTTCTGGAGCAAATTTGCTTGAAAAACGTACAAAGATCTACAATTGGTGTAGAAGTTTCTTTGTCCAATAATGCTCTAACTCCAATCGGTATCAAACGTTGCATAAGAATGTGATAGTCATGAGATTTCAACCCAATAATGTTAGTATCATTATCTACCACTTTCTTACTGATATTAGATCCAAACCCATCAGGGAATTTAACATCTCTTATAAATTGACAAAAGATTTTGCGGTCGGGTTTCTTGAATGAGTACTTTGCATGTGGTCTAGTGAACTTGTTACCCTTTTTTTGCAACCATTGATTACGTCGGATATTCAAATTTCTCAAGTCCTCACGTGCATTTGATGCGTCTTTACTCTTATCATTTAATCATAGAAGTACCCAAAAGACTCTCACCCACATTTTTCTCGACATGCATCAAATCTATGTTGTGCTTCAGCTGCAGAGAAGACCAATACTCGAGATCGAAAAATATGCTACGTTTCGACCAGTTCAACTCGAATCCTTGTCGATCCATGTTTGCCTTGAGAGTGTTAGGATGTTTACCCGGTTTACGAAGTATTAGACGACCTAGTTGCTCTTGTATGTCTTCATTAGTAAAGTGTCTCGGAGCGGGTCTTGTCTCGGGTTTGCCCGTTAAATTTCAAACTCATCCTTAATGGATCATCAGCATCTAAGAACCGACGATGACCGATATAAACGACTTTATTTACTGCACGGTACGAAGGAGTGTCTTCATTGCAAGTCGGGCATGCTCTATACCCTTGTCCGCTCCATCCCGATAAACTACTACGAGCTGGAAAGTCGTTTATTGTCCATAACAACATAGCTTTCATCGTGAAGAATGTGTTTGTCTGCGTCTTTAATACGTACGCCTGATTGCCATAAAAACTTAAGCTCTTCCACTAACGGCCTAAGGAAAACATCTATGTCCTTTCCAGGCGCTTTAGGGCCGGGAATCAACAAGGCCAACATGAATGATGACTCTTTCATACAAAGCCATGGTGGCAAATTGTATGTGGTGAGTACAACCGGCCACGTACTATGTGGATTACACATGTTACCAAATGGATTAAAGCCATCGGCTGCCAGCCCTAGACGTACGTTGCGAGGTTCGCTCGGGAAGTCAGGGTAATCTACATCAAATTTTTGCCAAGACTCTCCATCAACGGGATGACGCATCACACCATCTTCTGATCTCCCAGTACTATGCCATATCATATTTTTAGAAGTGTACCGTGAACAATACATACGGCGTAGTCTAGGGGTCACTGGAAAGTACCGTAACACCTTATGAGCCACTTTCTTACCCTTGGTGTTTTTATCAATCCACCGACTCTCTTTACAAACGGGACAAACTTGCAATGACTTGTGTTCCTTCTAGAAGAGAAAACAATCGTTTTTGCACACATGAATTGACTCGTACCCCAAACCTAACTTCTTCAGTTTCTTTTTTGCTAATTAATATGAACGGGGAACCTTGTTGTCTGGTGGAAATGTCGAATGCAACAACTCAAGGAGTTGATCAAATGAACTATCAGTCCATTTGTTATTGACCTTCATATACATCAGCTTTGCTAAAAAAATCAAGGAAAGAAAACGTACAACCATGATATAACTTGGTTTCGACTGCCTCTAACAACTCTTCAAAATCATCATCGACACCACTACCCCCTGTATTCGAGGTTCCTTCATCGAGGTTTGTATCATTTTCTCTCGACTCCCACATAATATCGTCAATACCATCAGCCATCTCGTTGCTTGGCGATACGACATCTACAACTAGAGGGATTAAAGGTTCATCGTGATATATCCACATGTCGTATGATTGACTGAAACCATATATACGAACATGACGTCTCATTGCTTTCAGATCCATGAAGTAACGATTATCACATTTCTCACACGGACATCTGGTTTCACCTTTACAATCTAGGTGTAACATGGATCTCTCGACAAAAGAGTCGAGTCCTAGCTGGAACTCGGGAGATTGATGATGTGGATTAGTAGTCCAGCTTTTATCAATAGACATGATGCAACTGAAACATAATTTAGTGTTTAAGGTTTACTCTACGGGAAACGAAAATCAAGTAGATTATTGATAAAGTTGATGATTCAAATAGTATCCCAACATGGGAACACATGAACAAATAATCAGAAATGGATAAAGTATTAAAAAAGTATATATATATATATATATATATATATATATATAGATATATATATATATATATCTATATATATTAATTTAGTTTAATTTTTTAAACTAATTTTATTTATTTTAATATTAACATTAACTTGATTTTAAAACTACTTTAATTTGATTTTACAATTAATTTATTATTTTTATTGATTTTTTTTAAAATTAATTTTATTTTATTTTATAATTAAATTAAAATTACTAGAAGTATGTTGCTATTAATAACCTAATTAAGCTAAAGTTGTAATGACCAACATTAACTCACTAAAAGTATGTTACTATTAAGTTGGTTTTATAATTGATTTAATTTGATTTTATAAAGGTAACTTAATTTGATTCTAAAGATAAATTAATTTGATTTTCTAATTAAACAAAATCAAACAAATGTATATATACCTCCAATTTTAATATCCAATTTCAATTTCATGCCAAATTTCATTTTTAAGCCAATGTGGTATAAACAAAAATTACAAAAACATACACAAATTTCATTTTTAAGCCAATGTGGTATAAACAAAAATTACAAAAACATGCCAAATTTCATTTTTAAGCCAATTTCATGCCAAATTTCATGCCAATTTCAATAGGGTAAACTTTGAAGATTTTAATTGAAGTTTCTTTGTTTAAGACTAGACTTTTAATTATTTTTTAGAGCAAGGGACTAAAACCGTACAAATCAGAAGTTGAGGGGCTGATCATATATATTTTGTAATGGAGTTTGGTTAAATCAGGAGGTTTGATACCTCCTGCTTCTTCCTCATCGATCCTTCATGGCGCAGAGAAGCAAGCAGAGAAGCAAGAAAAAAAATACTAATGGTCTTGTGTTTATAGGTGATCTAATAACAATTCAAGAGACAATTTCCCACATATAGCATCAATTTATATATTCATGAACAGATAATAAGCAAGAAAAAAAATACGAATGGGTCTTGTGTTTATTAGTAATATAACAACAATTGAAGAGGCAATTTCCGACATAACCAAACCAATTTATCATCCAAAACAGAAAAATAATAGCAAATAGGAGGAATTTGACCTTGAATGGGGGTAATTTCGGAATTGAGCTCAATGGTAGCCGGTAACGGGGGAAGGTGTGGCGGTCTTGTGGTGGCAGGAGGGCTAGCACCTCCTTAAATCTTCTTCCTCCACTTAGTCGACTGGTCCAAGATTTGTTGAGAAGCAGTAACAAGAAACGAGAGCGAGAGAAGGAAAGAAACAACATGAAATGTCGCGGAAAAGGGAACTGGGAAGGGGTTATCTGCACGCGTATTAGCGGTGACAAGCAATAGCGGCGACGCTAGTGTATTAGCGGCGACAATAGGGCAATAGCGGTGACACATTGGAGGGAAAAGTCAGCGCGTTTTCGCTTTCCTCTACAACCGTTGGATCGAAAACAAATCGGACGGATGGGGGTAATTTGACGCGGATCGCCGTTTGCGAGTATTACCGGCGACCTCTTTAGTGGCGACAAGGGGCAATAGCGGCGACATGTAACGTGTCAATTACATGTCGCCGCTATTGCCCCTTGTCGCCGCTAAAGAGGTCGCCGGTAATGCCAAGATTTCTTGTAGTGATAACACAAATAAAAATATTTATGGTCAAAGTTGAAGAAAAAGACATCAAAAGTCAAAAGTAGACAATTAATTTGGGATGGAGAGAATATATTTGTTTCACAAGTGTGGATGGTACATGCAATAATCGTGGCATATTACAAAGTTGAGATCAACACATATTCAGTTCAAAATGACTCGAGTATTTTCTTTCACTTCACCTGTATTCAGTCCACTGTTCTAGAATTTTAAAAAAATATTTTAATAGAAGGGGCGATCTCTTTTCTTACCAAACATACTACGACCATATGTGGCACTCATCAAGTCTATGAGAAGACGGGACTGCAGGGTCACAAAAGCAACAATTGGCAGGCATGTGAACACAACTATTGTAATAAGAATCTTTGAATTGCTTTGGCCAAATACAAGGTACAATGTTGCACCAGAAGCTACGAGCATAGCTGTTGTTGAGATGAACAAGGTGGCCAAACCAATTATCAACTTTGTAGGCAACATCAAGAGAAAGTCCTGCTCAGCATAACGCGCCGTGAGAATCGACAGAAACATTAACAACGAAGTAACAGCTGCAAATAATGATATGGCATCTGATATTGCAAATACTGTGAAGGCAATGTTGTTCGTAAAAACTGGGATCCCTGTGTCCTGATTGTTTCCTCCTGGCACTGTAATGGCCGCTGCAAACACAATGGTGGTGATCAATGCAGCTGCAATCGTGTACGACTCCGCAGTGGCCTTCAACCATTTTTCTCCCTCAATCACAAGGTCCTTGTGTTCTCTTGTAAATACCATTTGAGGTGTTTCGTTGAAAAAGTTCTTTTGTTTGACGATTAAAGGAGATACATATCCTTGGACCTCCTACAAGATTACAATATGTTAATTCGTTGTTAACCAATAACCATGCTTGATAAATAATTTTTGTTCTGCAGTGTAAAATTCAAAATTTGAAACATTTGAGGATCGTACATTAAACCATTGTAATTCACGTTGTATTTGTAAAAAAGCCCCCGATATAAGATCCAGTTTGCTGGAAGGCGCCAATCTTCCAGCCAAGTGCAAGAGGTTATTCTGATAAGGGTCTTTGATTGTTCGATAACCATTTTTATGTTCGCTCATTTGATAAATTAGATTGTAAACCTTTTCAGAACGATTTATCACAGCATATTGAATAATATATGTCCATCTTGGTTGGTAGTCCAAATTGCAGATGGGAAAAACCTTACGATACCTTCTACAACCTGATATGCATTCTGTCCTGTTGCTTCAATAATCGGATGCTCGTAATAGTCACGAGAGGAGTACCAATGCGTATCCTTTATCAATTGACATACCTTGGACAATAGTTGCATAGCTTCACCATAAACTCGAACTCTCTTTCTAATCAATGGCCACACTGAGACATAGATGGAAATTGAGTAAATTAAATAAAGAAATTGACTTTGTTTATGAGATGTATACAGTGATGATAACTGTTATATATTCATCTTGTTGAGTGGTGAAGCCACTTGTTTAGTGGCAGACAAAAGTAAAGGCAGAAAACATGCAAGAAATCATGGCACCATGTTTCACGGATCATGATTAGCAGCTACTTTTGACAACTTGCAATTTCAATCTCTATATATAGTAATCATATGTATTTGTAAACGGTGTACCAAGATCAATAGAATATATTCCTAGTTACCAAGAGTGGACGTAGGTCAGAAATTCGACCGAACCACTATAAATCATTGTGTTCTTGTTTTTCTATAATTTGTGAGCTGAGAGAGAGAGTTTCGTGTTAGTGTCTCGATCCTAACACATCTTACCTAACATCTTAAGGATTAGCGGGAAAAACATAATAATCCCGTAAATTCCTGCATGACACGACATAATTAAATCAAAAGTACATCGAAAAAGATATCAACTGATCATGACCTACCAACAAAGAATAGCCAGAATAATGTTTCCACCCATGATCCGCAAAATGGAACACATCTCTCAACCATACCATCCTGAACACTGTTCAGAGCTTCTTTTACTCTGTTACCCATTATGCTAGTCCCTTGAACATATATAGAAATTTGGTATACATGCAGAAAGTTCGTTAGGGAGGCCTTCCTAATAATAAATTGAGAATTTAAATTAAGAAACATATAGAATCAAGATAAAAATAAAGAGACTAATTAACCTATATATTTTTCTAATATATTGAGTTCTTTTGGGAAATTTTGAGCTATAGCCATAAGCACAGCATCATCTTTGAATGTTTGGTAACGCTCCACCAAATTAAGTGCCAAGCCTAGATATATTGGAAAGTTAGTTGTATCGATCAATAAAATGGCTAGTTTCTTTAGTAAGGAAAATTTGAATTCAATAGAGACTTACGGAAATCTTTAGATGAAATAAGAATAGCTAGAAGCTCATCACCACTTCTGTCAGAAAACTGAGTATCATTCATGTTGTCAGTTTTACTGAAATGCAACAGAATCTCAGACATCTTGGTATCCATATTGCAAAGAGCTATGGCTAGTGGTGTCTGATTCCTGTAGTCGCTGGTGAACAGCAAATCCGTGTTTCTTGTCACCAGGATTTTAGCAGCTTCAGTGTTGCCAACAATAGCAGCAACATGAAGTGGCGTGCTTCCTTCTGAATTTATCTGATAATGTAGTTGTGTTGGTGTGTCCTGTATAGTTTCCAACATTTTTTGTAACAATTTCGGCTTTTTGGTGTTACTCGCTGCTACATGGAGTGCTGTGTTGCCATTATTGGTGATTTCGCTAAACAGTGTAACATATCCGGTCTTCAAAATGCTATCAACTTTATCCCAATCTCCATCTAGAGTAGCCCGGTGCAAATTTTTGTGAGCCTCTTCTATTCTTGTCTCTTTTGGGTCAGGTAAATCTGCAATTGGGTCTCAACATAAAAAAACCATATATACAAGATAGAAAAATATGTGCTCTAATATAATCTAATCATTGTTGCACTTATACATTATCAGGAAAGAGATCAAACTTCAGCCAAATTAATTATGGCTTTTAATTTGTTCTTGCTTCTTGATATGCATACAGGAGAGAAAGATGCAAAGACGTACGATAGTGTACATAAAAAATGAAGAAAAAAACACAGCTTAAACTACACCCTGTACGTTTTATCTAAATGGTACAATAAAGGTCCCTAAACTTAATTAAGCATGAGGTCTTGTGGGTATATGGTCTCAAGGTGAAGCTTCCAAAGAGGTTGGCCTCCTCATCACAACACCATTCCGCCAAAACACTGGGTTGGTCATGTTTATGCGTGGAGAAGAAGAGACAGAGAGAGGGAAGTCTTCTCTCTCTCTCTCTCTCTCTCTCTCTCTCTCTCTTGTTGCTTTCCGTATCATTAGGGACTCAGAAGACGACAGAAGAACAATAGAACAAGGAGATGCATTACCTCTCTTGGGATATAAAATACATTCAAATAAAAATACAAATTAAGGGAATCGTGATAAAAACTTTTTTGTAGAGTAAGGAACATCTTTTAAGCCGGTGTACATATTGTAAAGAGGCTACACATATATCTAGCTATTTTACCATATAAAAAACTAATATAAATCCTAGCTACTAATTAACTCAAATAAAAAATAGATTAATTAGCAAACAATAAAGAGATTAATTGTACCTACAAGTCGTTGAGGATTATAGATAGACCCCAGTTCATCCCATAGAGATTTTGCATCAAAATCTGCATCAACGGTTCGATGGATGTTTTCTTTGAGACAGTACAAAACGTAGCAGAGTGCTTCTTCTGAAAGAGAACCAAGGATCCAACCTTTCACAACTGCATCAGATCTTCTCCACAGTCTGTAACTGTCACCACCTTCTTGTTTTGCAGTGTAGTGAAAGAATTCTCCACTGATGAAACCAAGCATATCATGACTCTCTAACAGACATCGAATCTGTGCTTCCACATATGATACTTGTCCCTGCCACTCAGCTTCACACTAATAAAGCTTGATGCAGAAAGATTTGATGGGTATGGGTATTCTGTCACTCTGCCATATTGATTGGAGCTTGAACCCTCCATCTTTGTATATCTCTTCTTTATCTGCTCTGTTAATCCTCATTAATTCCTTCTCCTTACCTATTTAAGAAACAAAGATGGAGTTGACTTGTTCTGCATGCTGACAAAAGCCACGTCAGGCTAATTGCTTGTTTAAAAATTAATTATAAAACGAGGTAAGATCCATGAGGCATGGAAGATGACATCATCTTATAATAGTATATGCTAATTAAATAATACAGCTAATCACATACGTACATACACGTGTTAGTGTTAGAGAGTTACCTTTTCGCATAAATTTTTCTGCGAACAAGTTGTACATTTGATCCCAAATTTTTTATATATTTACCTATAATTAATGAATCTTCGATGTTCAATTATTTCATAATTCATATAATCAATCAAAATTCTCTATTCATTGATGTAACCATTTATTGAAAAATCATGAACTTTGTCACTAAGTGGTAGTATTTTAATCCACTAGTACCATTACTCTTTGTAAAGTGGATTGCAATGAAAATTGTAATTATATTAAATTGCAGATATGTCCAATGTTCATGGATTAGATGGGATGGGCAATGAGTTAAAGCCGGTAAAATTTTACCGCTGGCCATGCATGAAAACTTTATTGTTCAGTTTTTATCGTTTTTACTAAATGACGAATGCATTAGGTAAGATTATAAAACCACACTATTAATGCTAATAGTATTTATTAATAGAGTTAATGCTGAAATTATAGGTAATTGAATACATTTTTTTTACGGATTTTGACCGTCTGGACATGTTTTTTTCAGCTAAGTTTTTGAAGTTTTACTGGTTATTAATTTTTTTTGAACAACCAACCAAATTTTAAAACGAGTTTGGCAAAAGCTAGAAAATTAAGTTACTTTGTACATAGAATCAAATTTGCATTCTTTATCCAATCACACCACTGATTTAAGTCATTTTACATCTACTCCAAATCCAATAAAATGAAATTGCTACTATAGAATATTATCTTCTCATTGAAAATCATGTTGTTGGGAAACTCCAAATAACCCAAAAAGTGAATAAAGTTGCTACATCAACCCATTCCCTTTAAGTAGCCTTCAAATTAGATTTTTCTCCCGAACTCGCGCGCCACATCCAAAGAATCATGAATAATCGTAATGCTCCACCATCTACAAACCTTACTCCTCAACTCATTATAAAATCATGTTTTACCTATTAATTTGAACCTTCTGAAAAAAAAAATGGATCCATTTTCAAATAATTGACTCAAAATTACCAATTCTTAAGGTATCTTTTCAAATTCAAAATACTAAAAGTTCTTTTTCAACTTAAAATTAAATTAGCTAGTAGAGCTGCTTGCTGCAGAGAGATTTGATGGGTATGGGTATATGGGTTTTCTTCTCAACTTCGGGTATGGTATTGATTAGAGCTTTAGCTTGCCATCTTTGTATCTTTTCTCTGTCTATCTGTCAATCCTCCTTCCATACATCTGCTTACATAGTTTGAATATAAAAGAGTTGGACTTTTTTGCTGAAAAAAACAACATATGTTAAGATTTCATGCTCCCCACCTAATCCAAGCTTATAATATTACGTTTAGGTTGATCTTAAATAATACAACTTAATTATGATTATCTTAATTCAATGTTTGTTTTATATATTGGTCTTAAACTAATGTTTAAATATGTGTTGACAAACATGTGATTCCCACCTAACCCCCACCTAAAATATTAGGCTTACTGAATGTTAGATAAGATGTTATCTTCATCTGTTCTTAATCATTCAACTAATCTAATTATATAAATCAATCTGGGTAACAAGGAAGATAATGACACAGCAAGATGGTGTGTGCTTTTTTCTTGGAAGCTCTTTCGTAGGCGGGCATACATTTTTACCCGAAGAATGTTTGTTTTTCAGAATGCAGACCTAATCAGTTCTAAGCCACCTCTGAAATTGCACCAGGAGATCAAAAACACCACAATGAAGCTATACCTATCTTGATCAGCTTTAATCCTCCGATAGCTTTTGTAATTTGATGAACCTCGATTATAACCTTGTGAAAATCACCTATTTGATCAGAGTTGTATTTGGTTTGGGTTTGAGGGTTCAAAAATACATAAAGCGGCACCAACAGGGGAACCCTCATCAAGCCCCGGTGGGGTTTCCACTTCCTTGCATCTTCGATCTCATTCCATTTTCTCGGTGATGTTTCTTGGATATAATTTCGAAACCATCGATTTGGTCCATGGTGCTCACAATTGGGTTCATAGTTCGAATAAGGTGAGACATGGAAGCCTTACCCTTCAATCATAGGTTATACATCACAAGAAAGATACATTGATTAGAGATAATGTTGGTTGGAACCACAAGAATTGCCTCATGATGCCTTGGATTTCTGAGTCTCGTGTTCAAGAATGAACAAGAATGAAACAGTACCTACAAGACTACAAGCCTAGAATCCCGACTTTGACTTAATCCAAACGACCACGACATCGCTTCTCAATTGGGAAGTGAGTCGTACACAACAATATTTCTCCATACACAATAGTTTTGTTTTATAAAATATGTACAATACAATATTGTAAAACATAAATTGTTGTGTATGAAGAAAAAAAAATGTTGTATACGAATAACACCTTTTTCAATTCTCAATTTTCTAAAAAAGACCGGACCATAATTTTTTCTTGTCCAAAACCGGTCCTAAAAAACAGACTGTTTCGAGACCCGTTCCAAAAAATATCAGACAGTTTCGAAACCTACACAAGATTGGTTTCAAAAAAGAGCGGAAGCAAAAGTTTATAATTATATAATTTTTGTGTTAGTTACATATTTTTTAATTACATATTACCAACTTCTATTTTTTCTTTTATTAAATTTTAGTTATTATTTTTAATAATCCTAGTACATTTTTTTAGTGTTAATTACATGTTTGTTAAGAAAAAGGTTTGAAAAAAAAAAAACTGGAACCAAACCGAAAAAAGCGCATGCAAAGACCCAGACACTCGACGAGACTTATCCTAAAAAAGATCGTTCTAGAAAAATACCTACCTGAGAAGTGTTGTACCATCGACCCAATACTTATTTATGTTTGCATCTTTGTAAATCACGCTTACTATTTTCTTAATTCATTTTAACTAGTAAAAATTTCCATGATTCGTGATGGGCAGGAGGGGTGTTGTTGCTCAAACACTGCAAATGTAAAACGTTTGTTTTAGTGTTATCGTCTATGGATTTGAAGATGGATAAAGCACCAAATGGGATGTCTAATTAAACAAAGGGGAAGTACAATACTATATTTCGATAAGTTTCCGTCACTTCCTCTTCAACCGTTTTTACATCATATATTGTTTTTGAATAATCAAAGAAATAAATACATTTCTGAGTTAAAAAAATAAAATTGCATCAATTTAGTTAACAAGGGTGATGGTTTCTACATGAAAGTGACTGTATATTCCAAATTTACCCCTGAAGCTTTTGCTTTAGTTTCAGTTTAAACACAAGCAAATAGTTTCTGACACAAAAGGGGGAAACCAACAAATAATGGAATCAAATGTCACAAAAACAACATGAATACCTAGAACTAACAACATCAATAATGGATCACAAGGCCTCTGTCTTATGATGAAAAATAATATAAAGGATCGTGATTTCTGAACAAAAACTGCAATGGTCAAGAAATTTGTAACGCCCGCAGATTCAGGCTAGTCAATTTAGAGATAATAAACGTTAAAAATAACTTTTTGATAGAAGATTATTTAGAATAAATAATCTTAACCAAATTATAGTATATGTCACAAGGATTCCGTACATATAAAGATCGCTGAAATCTGACTTATAACGAAGAAGTTATGACCCGTCGAAGTTTTGCGACAAAACCAGCACGGCTCCGCGTAACATAAAAATGAATTTTTGATAAATTACTTTTTAGCCTTAGTGATCTAAATGAAAGTCATAGTATATGTAAAACCGAGAGCGTACAAAAAAAACATCCAAATCTAACTTCGTTTGACGGAGTTATGATTTTTCTAAGATTTAGCATAACAGTGTACAACCCGTAAATCGAATTTTAGATCGATCAATTTTTAGCCGACACAACCTAAATGAGAAATGAAGATCTCATTAATAAGAGCTCAATGATATAAAAATAGTCAAAAACAGACATCGAATGAAAAAAGTTATGAATTTTTAACGTATTTTAACTGTTTAAGTCTGTTAAAATATAACTTTAAAAACATATTCAAAATTAGCCGATGAAGTCTAAACGAATGTTGTAGATCCCGTCGATACCTACGCATAGATATAAATAACATCAAAAATGGAGCTCGTATGCAAAATTTACGGATTTTAGAAGATAATTAGTTTTTGGAGTAACCAGTGAGCGACACGTGGCGCGTTCTGAGCCACTGCTTCATCACCACGGCTTGGCACTAGATGATGACACCTGGCCACGAACGTCCAACGTTTTGTAAGGGAATGCCCCGCATTCGAACCAGGCTCAACCTATAAATAGAGGTGCAAATCACCCCAAAAAACCCACACCTTTCCCATTTTTTCTCTCTCAAACACCCCTCTTAGCCCCTCCTATTCCCTAGCACTTCCCGAGTTCTAGAGGCGAGTCCCGGAGCGCCAGAAGGCTCCGAGAAGAAGAGATTTTGGATCGGAAGTTCTGCCCCTGCAGAGCCCGGTTCCTAGCCAAACCCCCTTATAAGTAAGTTATGCTTCCCCTACTTTAAGTATAGCTTATGTTTAAGTTTATTATCGCTATTATGAACCTATAAACAATATATATAAGTATTATAAAATATACAAAGTGTTATTCTAATACATTTTAACTGCTCGCGGTACGGGGAATCTGGTTTGAAGGACCGCATAGGATTGTTGGATTTCAGAACAACTTAAATGCCAAAATGGTATTGCCCTCCGGTGTTTCATGTCTGGCCCATGTCTGTACATAGTGGTTGAAAAGTATTGTTTAACATTTAGAAAAAAATATCGCTCGTAATTATAGACTAATAATTAGTCACAATAAATATTAGACTAAAATCTAGTAATAATGATACTAGG